TGTTGTGGGCAAAATCATTCTGGCCACCTTTACTTCCCAGGACTACACGTAGTACCCACTCAAGGCTGGGTCGACATGGGAGCCAGGGCCATTTTTAAAAAAAGCCATGTTCTTTCAAGATCTGAACCCACGACCCTCCGATCTGCAGGCAAGCGTCTAGCCGCTAAACCATGGTGACTTCCCTGGTAAGAATAGTCTAACCGTAATCACAGTAATATAAGATTTGAGGCGGTAATAACAGAAACTAGAAGACTGTGAGCATAACAAGATATGACTGAAGAAAGCAGTTGTAGTTTAAGATACAAACGTAACACAATAAAACATCAATGATAACATAAAAATTGACCATGAGGTGTCATCATGTGTTGGAGTCCTTGTTTTGCAAGCCTGCAAGCAATTGACTATCACATGCCCCCCCCCCCCCCCGTACATGACAAATTTCAATTTCCTCAATAGTGCACTGCTTCTGACTGATCACAGTAAATATAACGCTTTGGAAAAAAAAAGTTTGTTGCCCGTCCTTTAAAGAATATTGTAGAACCAACCACGTTTCTTGGCTGTTTGTGAATTTTTAAAGCTACTTTATGCTGAGTAGTGAGTGTGCCACTGTTTTTGAATGGTCGGCTCATGATACCACTGCTGAAATCAACACAAGGTGATCTGCTGATAAAATCACCTGCAGTCTTGCTGGAATAATCAGCTTCCAGGAATTCAGAATGAGCCAAAACACAAACAGTACTCTTGACGAATTTAAGACACAGTCAGAAAAAAAAAAAAAAAACCAATGCCCACTATGTAAGCAAGAAAGTGCACACAAATTGCCTTGCACACAGAACAAGTTAGGCTTCTTTACTGTAAGCACCGGGAGTCACCGGAGGCGGATGGCTGACACTCGCCTGCAGATCGGAAGGTCGTGGGTTCGCTCCTTGTCGAAGCCAGACTTTTTTTTCCAAAACAAAAATGACTTTGGTTCCTAGAACGGCCCCGCCTTGAGTGAGTGCAGTCTCGGGAAGTAAAAGTGGCCTGCGTGATGCTGACAACATCACCTACCAAGTGCCAATCAGTCTATAAAATATAGGTCTAGCCCTATATGTCCTATATGCCTAAAGTCGTAGAAAGTGTCTTTTACATTAAAAAAAAAAAATTACTGTAAGCACCTAGATTAATGTGCCCTGCATTATCAATCATTTTGACACAGTATATTTTTTAAATTAAAATATTCCTCAGTAGGTACAATTTGTTACAAATAATTGCATATACATAAAGTTCATATACATATAAACCTAGAAAGATGAAATCATTACACACAAGGTAAATATTCATGGCAGACCGTAAACAGAGATTGCACTTATCCATGGCTCAATACTTGTCTTAACTCCTATGTCTCAAACATAAATGAATGAGCCAAGAATTCTTGTATTCTTTTGCCTCTGCCCTCTAATGGGGTGCTTGACATGCTGTGTTGTGGTTTACAGCTAGGCTGTGATATCTGCACCTTTCAGCCCAGCACATCCGATTTCAGCAAATCAATAATCAGTCACCTCTTACAACTTGCTTGTTTGGGAGGGGGTGAAACACTTTTTTATTGGGGCCCTAGACCCCAAAAAGTAAGAATCGAGAATTGACATCAAGGTACTCGGGGCATTCCCAACCACTGAACATACACCAATGCTAGTAGATATATAAACTTAACTCCCTGAATGTCTCAGTCAATCACTGAACATGTCCCAGTCAATCACTGAACATGTCCCAGTCAATCACTGAACATGTCCCAGTCAATCACTGAACATGTCACAGTCAATCACTGAACATGTCCCAGTCAATCACTGAACATGTCCCAGTCAATCACTGAACATGTCCCAGTCAATCACTGAACATGTCCCAGTCAATCACAGAACATGTCCCAGTAAATCAATGAATATGTCCCAGTGAATCACTGAGGGAGGGGGAGGGGTGGGTGGGGGGGGGGGGGGGGGGGGGGAACCATTGCCAAAGAATGTAGAAATACAAAAACATCCCAGTTCCGATAGCCAAGAATTGTTGTGCCTGCAGTGCTTTCCCCCTGCAGTACATCTGACTTTTTTACAGACGTCTGTGGGGCCTGAAATAGACTCACAGCAACGCAACCTCCCACGCCGAGCGATTGCCAAACCAAGCGATATCATAACCCCCCCCCCCCCCCCCCCCCCCCCCCCCAACATAGGAGAGGTCCAGCGACCTAAGGAGGCATGAATGGCAAAGGAAGTTACTCAAATCCTGGGCCTGGAAACGTGAACAGGACCCGATCATTAAACATATCCCAGTCGATCACTGTGTCCCAGTTTCAGAAAGTGATCAACTACAACTATGAATACATACCATACACTATGTTATTACCCCCTGCAACCCCCCCCCCCCCCTCCTTTTCTGAAACGGGGAAAAAAACCAGCACCAGAGCTTACAATTTAATTCACAACACACATTTAAAAATATAAAAGTACATCAGCTCATTTCAACTGATTACAAATGATAGACCCTTGTCCCTGTCTTGTAGCATAGTGGGTACATAGTGCCTCTCATCATCCATGCCAGACTGTGGCAGCATCACAATGATCATCTTTACTCAAATGCCATCCTGCTAATTCTGTGGGTTGTGTCTGGAGAGGGAGGAGTTCTTATGAAGATGTTACTGGGTCAGCAGCAAAGTCTTTTCAGGACTCATGCAACCTGAACCTCAATGTGGATCCAATACTGTTATTTGGCTGCCATGCATTCCTTCTATACTTTCAGCTCTACATTCCCACGTTCTGCACTTTACTTTCCTTGCAGCAATTTAGCTCCCTATTCATGAAGCTGCTACACGACAGGCCAGACCACTTAGAAATTGTTGCAGACGGCAGTTTCAATGGACCACAGGGTGAAGAGCATAGATCTAAAGGCTATCCTACCAACCCTGGCAAATTAAACATTATGTTCAAGCAAATAAATTCAACCACACCCCGACACATATCATATCTCTACACTCACCTCAAATTCAAAAGGCCAGAATTTGTGAACGGCCATCCTTACTAAACTGTTTTGTTTCATTTTACCTAGTTAAAAATTTTCATCGTTCCATTCACAATCCTAGATAAGCCCAGTGAAGCTGTGATGATTTAAAAAAACAAAAAAAACCTAAAAAACAAAACTACAACTTTAACAATAGATAAAAACTCAAACGCACAAATTTTGGACAGGAAGCTAGTCCTTGGATAGTAAAACACAATTGCAGACACTATCTTTGAAATGTTGTGCAAAAGTTACGACTTGTGTTTAATAATTGCTCGAATGATGACATTTTGGCACTGGTAGTTAGGTGGGTTACAGGATTTCCGTGCAGCACTAAATCCTGCTTTTGTTGATCCTGCACTAATTATAACTTTAATCCCCACTCACACTAAAAAATGAAAACAAATAAGATTATCCGGGATCAGCACACAAAATCCAATCAGGCAAATAAACTGCTGTGAAAACAATTCACAAAACCCCTGAGCACCAAAAAGTTTTTAAAAAAAATGTATGGATAACTGCGTCTGCACATTTCTATAACACTGTAGCCATAAGTGTTTACACTTGCGCTGATTCAGCTCCCGCAAGGCTAAAGGACTGAATCAAGTATACACCTGGCAACATTCACTTGCCACATCTTGCTTTGAGTTTATCAATAATATTGCACAGTTTCACAACCGGTCCAAGTTTCAACCCCATGTACTTCAGCATCATCTCACTTTTCAGCAGCAGAAAGGCTTTTCCATCGATTTCCTGGGCAAAAATAGTATACAGAGTTGTCTTATCATTAGGAACTCTCCAGTTAGGTAAAAAAAAAAACAATTCAAACAGAAACAAAACAACAGTTGCAATATAATAACAATCTACAAGAAAAAGGTAATGGGGAAAAAATGAGTGCTTTCTTGTCTTTTGTGTTTCGTAGCTTTTTATCTTCAGACTAACAATTATTTTCAGGATAAAAGATTGGATGTCTGGTGAAGATCATAATGTCCAGCCCATGCATAGCTTAGATTCCAGTATGGCCCTATAAAGCAAGAGTGAACGCTGAGCTTTTGGCACGGGGAACAGATAGATATGAAGGAATCATTTATTCATCTTCTTCAGTGTTCACCCTTGAAAGGGCGGTGGCGCACTGTGTTGTGGTTTACAGCTAGGCTAAGATATCTACATTTGTGACTAAACACATCTGATTTCAACAAACACCTAATTCATAGCCTCTTAGAGGGCAGTGGGTCAATCCCCCCCCCCCCCCCCCCCCCCCCCCCCCCCCCCCCACCAGAATGGGAATCTACATGGCATAGATGTAATGTGAAGTCTGAATGTTTGTCATGCATTTGAATTAATGAGTAAGTAAGTGACAGGTTGCAGGAAAACAGAAATGCTTGCCAGCAGTAGAAAGATTATGTCTCTGTTGTACTGAAAACATCCACACTGAAATCTTCCCTTCCAAATACAACAGAAGAAACAATAGGCACACTAAGAAAGAATCTGGAAACTGATGTAGCGGCTAGACCCTTGACTTGGGCCTGAAGGTTGTAGGTTCAAATGAGCATGGAGCTAAATAAAGAAAATAAAAAAAAAAACATTACTTTGGCTTCCAGGTCGACCCAACCTAAAAGGGGCACCAAGTAAAACTCTGGGAAGTAAAGGTGGCTGGACTGATGCTGACCACTAAGTGCCAACTGGTATACAAAATATAGGTCCATTCCTGTATGCCAAATACTAGCAATGGCTTGCAAATATGGTCCTTTTTTGTGTGGGAAAATGTGAAGCTGACTAGGATCTGGTTTGTGTTAGTGATAATGTGAAGCTGGGGATCTGGTTTGTGTTTGTGATAATGTGAAGCTGGGGATCTGGTTTGTGATAATGTGAAGCTGGGGATCTGCTTTGTGTTTGTGATAATGTGAAGCTGGGGATCTGGTTTGGTTCATGTTTGGGATAATGTGAAGCTGACTAGGATCTGGTTTGTGTTTGTGATAATGTCAAGCTGACTAGGATCTGGTTTGTGTGTGTGATAATGTGAAGCTGACTAGGATCTGGTTTGTGTGTGTGATAATGTGAAGCTGACTAGGATCTGGTTTGTGTGTGATAATGTGAAGCTGACTAGGATCTGGTTTGTGTTTGTGATAATGTGAAGCTGACTAGGATCTGGTTTGGTTTGTGTTTGTGATAATGTGAAGCTGACCAGGATCTGGTTTGGTTTGTGTTTGTGATAATGTGAAGCTGACTAGGATCTGGTTTGGTTTGTGTTTGTGATAATGTGAAGCTGACTAGGTTCTGGTTTGGTTTGTGTTAATGTGAAGCTGACTAGGATCTGGTTTGGTTTGCGTTTGTGATAATGTGAAGCTGACTAAGATCTGCTTTGGTTTGTGTTTGTGATAATGTGAAGCTGACTAGGATCTGGTTTGGTTTGTGTTGTGATAATGTGAAGCTTACTAGGATCTGGTTTGGTTTGTGTTAATGTGAAGCTGGGGATCTGGTTTGGTTTGTGATAATGTGAAGCTGACTAGGATCTGGTTTGGTTTGTGTTTGTGATAATGTGAAGCTGACTAGGATCTGGTTTGGTTTGTGTTTGTGATAATGTGAAGCTGACTAGGTTCTGGTTTGGTTTGTGTTTGTGATAATGTGAAGCTCACTAGGATCTGGTTTGGTTTGTGTTTGTGATAATGTGAAGCTGACTAGGTTCTGGTTTGTGTTTGTGATAATGTGAAGCTGACTAAGATCTGGTTTGGTTTGTGTTTGTGATAATGTGAAGCTGACTAGGATCTGGTTTGGTTTGTGTTTGTGATAATGTGAAGCTGACTAGGATCTGGTTTGGTTTGTGTTTGTGATAATGTGAAGCTGACTAGGATCTGGTTTGGTTTGTGTTAATGTGAAGCTGACTAGGATCTGGTTTGGTTTGTGTTTGTGATAATGTGAAGTTGACTAGGATATAGTTTGGTTTGTGTTTGTGATAATGTGAAGTTGACTAGGATATAGTTTGGTTTGTGTTTGTGATAATGTGAAGTTGACTAGGACCTGGTTTGGTCCATGTTTAGGATAATGTGAAAATTACTAGGATCAGGTTTGTGTGTGTGATAATGTGAAACTGACTAGGATCAGGTTTGGTCTTTGACTGGGATAATGTAAAACTGACTAGGATCTGGTTTGGTCTGTGACTGGGATAATGTAAAACTGACTAGGATCTGGTTTGGTCTGTGACTAGGATAATGTAAAACTGACTAGGATCTGGTTTGGTCTGTGACTGGGATCATATGAAGCTGACTAGGATCTGGTTTGGTCTGTGACTGGGATAATGTAAAACTGACTAGGATCTGGTTTGGTCTGTGACTGGGATCATCTGAAGCTGACTAGGATCTGGTTTGGTCTGTGACTGGGATAATGTAAAACTGACTAGGATCTGGTTTGGTCTGTGACTGGGATAATGTAAAACTGACTAGGATCTGGTTTGGTCTGTGACTGGGATCATCTGAAGCTGACTAGGATCTGGTTTGGTCTGTGACTGGGATAATGTTAAACTGACTAGGATCTGGTTTGGTCTGTGACTGGGATAATGTAAAACTGACTAGGATCTGGTTTGGTCTGTGACTGGGATCATCTGAAGCTGACTAGGATCTGGTTTGGTCTGTGACTGGGATCATCTGAAGCTGACTAGGATCTGGTGTGGTTTGATAACTTTGCAAGCTATTTCAGTGTCAGTCAGGTGATTCTCTTTCCACAGGGTGTGCCCAATATACTGCTATCATATCTGGCTTATAACTGTTGCTACAAGCAGCTGTCTAGACTGGAGCTTATACAAGAAGTAGTATCCCTATTAATTATCATGGATGCCGCAGGAGCTGACTGTGGGACCAGTAAAAGGCTAGCAACCTCACGCTGAAGACAAAGTTAGTTGCGTATCCTTTACAGAACATTGCAGAACTAACCACAGCATTTTTTGAGAGTTTGTGATTTCACTAGGCAATTTTACGTAAAGTGCCCTTGCTCTCCCAAAATGTTCGCTGTCGATAACACTGTTAAAACAACACAGTGATCTGCTGCCAAATCGCCTGCAGCTGGGATAGAACATGGCACCACAGAAATACGAAGCTCGTTCACCACCCTTAAACCACAGACAGAAAATCAAACCAGTTATAAATAAGTCTTTAACTTGGCTTGAAGTGGCTGATGGTCAATGCTTCATGGGGGAATGACAAGCAGAAGAAGAGACTTCACAGAATAATTAAAAAAAAAAAAAAAAAAAAAAAATATATATATATATATATATATATATATATATATATATATATATATATATATATATATATATATATATATATATATATATATATATATATATATATATATATATATATGGAAGGTCATGACAGTAGAAACAATATGGAAAATTTGAAACAAAGCACAGCGAGAGAAAACTTACATGTTTCTTAAAGTGGTCCACATAGGGAGATAGACCAGAGTCTGTATCCTTTATGTGGGACATGACATCCTCCACGCTCCACTCTGCAGGGTTTAGACTACGCACAGAAGGCATCAATGGCGGAGGCTGGCTGCTGTTCTCACCTGTTGTGGAACTCGCTAGAGATCAAATGAGAAACAGAAATATTTGTAAAACATTTCAACACTCACTCGCAACAATTCTCTTATATAAGAATAAACTCACAGGGAGCAAGTACAGCGGGGATCTACAGTCATCAGTAGAAATTATCCTCTTTCGACACACGTTTCGGCCCACGATTCCTAAACGTATTCGGAGGTGGGCCCACCTGAGTTCATGAAGCTCAGGGCTGCTTCCCCGCCGCACAGAATTACCGGATGGTGTTATACTTTCGGCCAGAGACAAGACGACTTAGTGGTTTCGAAGGAGGTACTGTGAGATAAGAAGTCGCCGCGACAGCGTAATTAGAACAGTCCGCATGCCTGGACGACCGAGCGACAAGCTTACTTTGGTTTACCGGACACATGTTGGACTTTTATTAGCAGTTGGCAGAGAGACACTGGCAGACAATTCGTACACGATGGACTTTTCAAAGGGATAAGAAACTCTTTTCCACTAGATACCCGGACCAGCTCACCGAGGCCCGTCCCCTACGTTGTTGCGCTGCGTCCACAACCAGCTAGATGCCCTTTCGGCCACCTCACCAAGTTTTTTGAGTGCTCGTTTCCGTTCATTACCGCGCAATCCTAGTTCTTTTACCACATTGTAGAGCGAAGTGGAAACGAGGCCTCTCGCTCCCACTTCGACGGCAAATACCCGTACTGTGTAAGCCTCGTTTCTCCTCAAACCGGCTGCTAAATCACTGTATTTCTCGAGCTTATACAAATGATTCTCCTCCATCCGCGACTCAAACGGGACCGTCAACTCAATCAGGATGAGTTGCCGTTTTTGCGCAGAATGGAGAACGATGTCCGGTCGCAGGCCGGTTTTACGGATCAACTCGGGATACCGTTCATGTCCTGGCAGATCAACCGCCAGTAACCAGTCCCTCGCAGAGTCTAGCGCAGATGGAGCGAATGCGTTTTGGTTGACCTTACCTTTAGGAACCTGCCCAGCCTTGAGGAAACGAATGGGGACGATACTAGAACTGGCTCTGGCGTTAGCCCTCATTCTAGCCTGGTCGACAACGGCTGCTAACTCCTTTAGCACCTTGTTGTGGCGCCAGGTATAGCGGCCTTGACCTAGAGCTTTCCTGCACGCGGACAGGACGTGCTCAAGAGTTTGCTTTGATTTGCACAACGGGCAAGTCGGATCGTTGGTCGCAGACCATTTAACCATGTTAACACCGGACGGTAATACATCGTACGCCGAACGAACGATAAAGCTCAGTCGCAGCGGGGTCATCCGCCAGATCTCACCCCATGTGAGTATTCTCGGCAATGCGCTCTCCAGGCTGACCCAATGGCCCTGCTGCGACTGTTGGGCTGCTTTCTGGACCCGAACCTCGTTTTCGTTGTCCCTCACCGTTTGTATCACCATGTCTCGGCGCTCTTTGGCTGAGGCCTTTGACCACCAATTGACTTTCCCGTGCCCTAGGCCTCGACGGTCGGTTTGTGTGTAACCCATTACCTCCTTCAATTTTAGTGCGTTCTGAGCAGATTCAATCGCATCGAGGACTCTCCACTTCTGACCAGTCTTTAGAGCGGGCTGGACAGCGATGACATTTGGGTCTGAGGACTCGCGCAAAAGCATGGCGAGCCTAACTTTGCCGACTTTAAACTCTTCGGTTATTGACTTGAACGGAAGTACCAGCTTAGCCTGTTTACAATACAGAGCCACGTCGGTCAGACAAGGCGGTGCACCAATCCACTTTCTTAAGGCTGTATTGATTTTCTTTTCCATGGTTTCCACTGCAGTCATCGTCACCTCGTAGACTAGCAGTGGCCATAGAAGCTTCGGAATCAACATGAATTGGAGACACCATACCTTGAATTTTCCGATCAGCCTGCATCGCTCGATCGCGAGCAGGCCTGTAGCCAGTGACTCGTGTATTCGCCGGACCTCCGCTCTGTCAGATAACTTCGAATCGTAAACGCGACCGAGACTCTTCACCGGTTCCTCCAGAACCGTAGGGATCTTGTTCCTTGCCACCGTAAAACTGGTCGCCGACACCTTGCCCTTATGGATTGACAGACTCCTCGACTTCTGCGGTTTGAACTGCATACCGCTCCATTGGACCACCGCGTCCAATCTTTTCAGGATCGTGCGGGCAGACTCCTCGCTGCCCGTTATAATAGTCGTGTCATCCATAAATGCGCGCAGTGGCCGTAACCAGTGATCCCCTATTTGAAGGCCCAGTCCGTAGCCGGCCGCCCCGTCTAACATGATCTGCATTGCCATGACAAACAGTATAGGTGAGATCGTACACCCCATAGCTATCCCAATCTGCAACTCAGTCCACCTCGTGGTAAACGTCGAGGTAGAGAAGCGCAAAGCGAACTTAGAGAAATATTGCTCGACCATTTGACTGATCTGTGTCGGTACGTGAAACATGCGAAGGGCTCGCCACAGTAGCCTATGGGGGACTGCCCCGTAGGCGTTGGCTAAGTCCAACCATATAACGTGCAAATCGGTTCTCTCATGCTTGGCTCTCTGGATAGCCTCCCATATCATGGTCGCGTGTTCAAGGCACCCAGGAACGCCTGGAATACCACCCTTCTGAACACTCGTATCTATGTACTTGTTAGTCATCAGATACTGTGTGAGCCGGCGAGCCATGACTGAGAAGAATATCTTACCCTCGACATTCAACAGCGAGATGGGCCTGAATTGGGAAAGACTCTTCGAGTCCTGCTCTTTGGGAATGTAGACCCCATTTGCCTTTGACCACTCTGGACATATGTGATTGCGGATCCACGCTTGTCGCAGCAAGACGTGAAGCATTTTTAGGATTTTCGGGCAACGCTTGTAAAGAACGTACGGGACACCGTTCGGACCTGGGGCAGACTTGCCGCTGGCCTTTTTCACAACATCTTCAACCTCAGACCAAAGGGGAGGTACCATTTTAAATGGTACCTTCGGCACCGAAGGCTGTTTGAGTCCGCTAAGGATCTCTGGATTGTCATCAAGAGGCTCTCTCCTCTTCTTATCAGAGTACATCTTGCTTAGATGTAGCTCAAGTTCTTTCTGACTGACAACCAGAGTCCCAGACTTCGGTTGCTCGAATAGACCTCGGGCAAACTGATACGGGTCCCTAAAGAATTTCTCTCTCGCTCCCTTTTAGTTCTTCGTCTGTTGTTACAGAAACGCTCGGCGCGACAGAGGGCACTGTGTTTTGTTCTTTAAATGCACCCACACTTCGTACAGCCCCTCCCGTTCGCTGCCCGTAGCGGCTTTGAACTGTTTTCTGAGGGCATTCTTGTCTGCCCGACACTTCAGAATGTCCCTCTGCCTCCTGCTAGTATTCTGCTTGGCACCCGGCTGTGCCTTAACTACTGTCCCGAACTCGCGGGAGCAGTGTTCATATATTATATCACCAAATTTAGTAAGCTTGTCGCCTAGCGACTTCTTGTTTAGAGTTTGTTTAAGTACCTCACATAATGTAGCCTCCAACTTACACCACACCACCTTCTCGCTCGCAGGTGGAAACCTGATCTTGGAACGCACTTCTTCAGAAATCATCAAAGGTGCTCCTCCGCAGTCGACGTCATGGGCCTCTCCGGGCGAGTGGGGTTCACCCTGCCCGTCGTACCCTGACGACTCAGAAACTACCACAGGAGTGGTAGTTTTGCGACGGCGTTTACTGCGTGGAGCACCCTCGCATTTCATTCTTCCGGCATGCGTTCTCAGACCATGCAACCCCGTGAAGCTTTTCCCACATGTACAGAGCCAGCCCGGACGTTGGGCGAGTATCTCAGTCCGGGGGCTAGCAAAGTCGTCAACGAGGGTATCAGTTTGATTGGGCCCTTCATTCTCTCCCCCTTTCGGAGGGCCCTGGGAGCATATTTCTTTGTGGTTTAACGCAATCGGAGGTATTATACTGTGTTAGGGGTGATCAACCCGGTCCACAGTCGACATCTGTCTCCAGATGTCAGTTTATCCCCCCGGCGATACCGGGGGGCCAGTCTTTCCATAGGTGTCAAAAGGACTTTCCCGATAGTCACCAGTCTTTCCTGGTAGTCTTGTGGGCTAGCCACGTACAATAAGAATAAACTCACAGGGAGCAAGTACAGCGGGGATCTACAGTCATCAGTAGAAATTATCCTCTTTCGACACACGTTTCGGCCCACGATTCCTAAACGTATTCGGAGGTGGGCCCACCTGAGTTCATGAAGCTCAGGGCTGCTTCCCCGCCGCACAGAATTACCGGATGGTGTTATACTTTCGGCCAGAGACAAGACGACTTAGTGGTTTCGAAGGAGGTACTGTGAGATAAGAAGTCGCCGCGACAGCGTAATTAGAACAGTCCGCATGCCTGGACGACCGAGCGACAAGCTTACTTTGGTTTACCGGACACATGAATATATAAAGTAATGCTCCTTCCTCATAGTCTTCTCATTCAGCCTTTAAAGCCCATAAGGGTTCACTGCTGCAGATATTACCCATCTGCATTCTTTTCTTTCCAGGTGGTGACTCAAAGTGTCTGTCAGTTTACCTGGATATTCTCTCTCCAATGCTTCTTGGTCTGCCTCATGGTCTACTCCTATTCAACTCTTTCATGTACACAGTTTTTGTATCTCTGCTATCTGACATTCTGCTTGTTGCATAAAATGAACACATCAAACTGAAATACACAAATCGAAGTCCACTGTTTCACTGTGTGTTTTATATCAATCAAAGTCTTCAACTGTTTCACTGTGTGTTTAATATCAATCAAAGTCTTTAACTGTTTCACTGTATGTTTTATACCAATCAAAGTCTTCAAATGATTCACTGTATGTTTTATACTAATCAAAGTCTTCAAATGATTCACTGTATGTTTTATACCAATCAAAGTCTTCAACTGTTTCACTGTGTGTTTTATACCAATCAAAGTCTTCAACTGATTCACTGTATGTTTTATACCAATCATAGTCTTCAACTGTTTCACTGTGTGTTTTATATCAATCAAAGTCTTCCAACTGTTTCACTGTGTGTTTTTTATCAATCAAAGACTTCAACTGTTTCACTGTGTGTTTTATATCAATCAAAGTCTTCAACTGTTTCACTGTGTGTTTTATATCAATCAAAGTCTTCAACTGTTTCACTGAGTGTTTTATATCAATCAAAGTCTTCAACTGATTCACTGTGTGTTTTATATCAATCAAAGTCTTCAACTGTTTCACTGTGTGTTTTATATCAATCAAAGTCTTCAACTGTTTCACTGAGTGTTTTATATCAATCAAAGACTTCAACTGTTTCACTGTGTGTTTTATATCAATCAAAGACTTCAACTGTTTCACTGTGTGTTTTATATCAATCAAAGACTTCAACTGTTTCACTGTGTGTTTTATATCAATCAAAGTCTTCAACTGTTTCACTGTGTGTTTTATACCAATCAAAGTCTTCAACTAAGCAGCATGTCTTTTTGTTTCCCTAATAATGATTGGAGTGATCACAGGAGAAAACATGACAGGAAAACTGTTCTCAAAAGACGGAAGTGCTCATAATGAATCTAGTAAGTTATGCAAGCAGGAAGACACATGGCTCACGTGTCAATGGTTGATTAATGTGTGGGTAGTGATAGGGAAAAGACAAGTGTAAAAGATTTGTGGGAACAGGATGCCACAGCTTGTGTTGTACGGAGGGGGGAAATCAGAAAGGGAATGGGGATGCAGGAGAACATGGTTGCAGACAGGTTAAGAGCTGAGCATCGGAGAAGAAGCCCATTTAATACAGGTCATCAGAACATGCTCACAAAATCCTATGCTTCAACTGTATTCAGCACTATCAGAAAGGATAGTGACAGCACATGAAGCAGAGATCTAGTTGAGCTGTTATCAGGAATGAATGAATGAATCAATCATTCAAGAACTGACATCATTGCATTGGGGACATTCCCAGAGATTCTCCATCCCCGTCTTCTGCAGCCAACAAAGAGTCGACATGCCAACAGTACCAGATGCAACCTAAAAAAAAGTCGACCTATGTTTTCTATTCAATGCTGAATATCTGCCAGAACATCTACTTGCCCCGGCTGAATCAGCCTTTCAATGTACAGATTCTCTGTAAGTTCTACTGCACTGTCCATTTGATCCCAGAGAGCCTCTACCACGTCTGTCTTATCATAATGCAGCTCACCACCCAGAACGCAGCAGCAGCCAGTCAATCAGTCTGCTCATTACCCTACACACCCAAATACCTTGGACAGAAAATGCATGATATGCTCCTAATACGAGTCTTATCAAGTGATGAAGGCACTATTTACATAGGATACCAGTTTTATTTACTAGGAAATTTCTTGTGAAGTAAAAGTGATGGCACGATGATCACCTCATAGCCCATTAAGTGACACCTGGTCTATAAAAATGGGGTGGAAAACAGACGTTACCTTTTTTCTATTTTTTTCTTAAAAAATGGAACAGTAAAGTAACACTTATGAACATAAAATGATGGAGACGGAGCACTTATGGGCATGTACAGAGTGCTCTGTGAAATGAGATGCCTGAGAAAAGCCTCTAACTTAAACATACAAGACAACGTTAGAAATGATATTATCAGACAGACTGTGGGAACAACACCAGGCAACAAATGCAATGAGAAACAGAAGATCAAATGGTCTGGCCATCTAGTTAGGAATGCAGCCAGAAAAAATACCAACGCAGGTGCTACATATGAAAAGATCTGAAGTAAAAGCAAGAGGCTGCACTAGGAGAATGTGGACTGATGACATTAACAAGCTTCTAGCAGGACTGCAGTTCAGTAATGGACGAGCAACCAGAACTTTCCGCCAGAGTGTACAGCTGGTGAACGCGAAGAAGAAGAAGATTAACAAGCTTCTAAATTAACACAGAATGACAATAGCCAATGCTGCCCATCTACCAATAGATTGCAAAGTGTTCCTCCCATGATGCCTAATGGCAGAAGTGGATAACTAATGATGAAGACAAAGATAAAATGCTCTTATATTTTTGCTGAATACAACATTTTTAACATGAAGGTTCTAACTGGAAAGATCCCAACAAAACTGTTTCCAAAAATAACTGACAGTAATATACTGAGCTTTTTTAACATTGACCTACCAGCTTCTAAAGTTGATTGCCGCTTCTGTGTGATAACTTTGGGCACTTTAGTTCCTCCTCGTGAGCTCTCTGATGACTCTGTGGACCACCTCCTGCGACCTCCCTTTGAGGGATGATATGTGTCTTCCTCGGAGTCTGCAAAAGAAGAAGCTACCATCTCTGAGTTGAAGCTGCCTGATCATTCATAAACAAGAATACAGGTAGTACATTGTCAGTCAGGCAAAGAGCACAGGGCTCTTGCTGTTTTTCTTCACTTCCTTTCTTACCGCTTCAGGTGTTGAGGAGATATCAGGTTCTTCTTCTTGCTCTTCTAGGCACTTTGACTACAGACACATTGTGTTTAGAGCACAGGCAATCTTCTTCTTCTTACCTTCGCATGAAATAAATTATCTATATCTGCAATGCTGTCTCTAGTATGAATTTCACTGTCTTTTGTAATTCACTAAGCGGCCCGTAAAGTTTGACTTCCACAAGTGTCTCTTTTGGCCAGAAGTTTTGCCTGGAAGCGTTGAATCTGGGACAGTCTTTGAGGATGTGATCTGTTGTTTCATGTGCCAGTCCACAAGTACACATAGCTGATTGGCCAATTTTAAACTTGTTGTACATGTGGCAGCGAAGTCGATTGAGCCCTGTTCTAAGGAGCACAGGTAATTAAAATAAAATATTTAATTTACAGGTTTAGTTTACAGTTTAGAGAAAATACTTCACTGCAAAATGTTTTATTACGCAAATCGGTCTTTTGACAGCATGCTAGCTGCAGCCAAGAGCATCACACAAAGCATGGACCTCATAACTCAAGCAATCCCCCAGGATCTCCCCGGAAATCGCATTCATAAACCAAAGGATGTGGTCAGTGAGACGAACCCACAAAATTCTGTGTGTGAGGCAAATGGAGAAGACAGGCATTAGAGAATATCGGGATGACTGGAAAGATCAAGGGTAGAAGAGGCAGAGGCAGATCAAGAGAGATGATTTGAGATGGCCTGAAGTGATGGCAAGGAGAAATATCATTGGTGGAATTCATTCAAAATACCAAAAAGAGACACGAGTGCCTACACAGCCTGGCAGAACACATGACAATGATGAGGCCATGGTTTTTTAGCGTAGAGACCTATCATAAATCTCAAATATATTCCAAAATATAATTATATTCTCCCAAACAAAAACATAAATATTCAAAAATAGTGCACATGCTGACAAAGTTTCTCAAAAACACTCACCGGATCGTTTGAGGACAGGTTTAGTTTTGTTATTTTTGCACTTGTTGCACTGTCGATTCAGGGGAATCAAACTGACAAAATTTTCACAGCAGCCTAGGCTTTCCCGGAATCCTTCCAAGAACTGAATGAAGTCAGAGATTTTGTCGTACGACACAATTCTCTTTGTGTATGTGCGACCGCTGTGTGTGGCTAGGGAGGAGACAAGGAATTACTGTCATTAATTTTTATTATTATTATACCATAAAAAGGACTCTATTTTAAGGAGGAGCGATGAGCAATGAAACAACAGAGCAATGAAATAGCAGAGCAATGAAACAACAGCAGAGCAAATAAATAACAGCAGAACAATGAAATAACAGCAGAGCAATGAAACAACAGAAGAGTAATGAAACAACAGCAGAGCAATGAAACAACAGTAGAGCAAATAAACAACAGCAGAGCAAATAAACAACAGCAGAGCAATGAAACAACAGTAGAGCAAATAAACAACAGCAGAGCAATGAAATAACAGCAGAGTAATGAAACAACAGCAGAGCAATGAAACAACAGCAGAACAAATAAACAACAGCAGAGCAATGAAATAACAGCAGAGTAATGAAACAACAGCAGAGCAATGAAACAACAGTAGAGCAAATAAACAACAGCAGAGTAATGAAACAACAGCAGAACAAATAAACAACAGCAGAGTAATGAAACAACAGCAGAGCAATGAAACAACAGTAGAGCAATGAAATAACAGCAGAGCAATGAAATAATAGCAGAGCAATGAAATAACAGCAGAGCAATGAAATAATAGCAGAAGAGTAATATAACAGCAGAGCAACAAAATAATAGTACAGCAACTAAATAACAGCAGAGCAATGAAACAACAGCAGAGCAAACAAATAACAGTAAAGCAAATAAACAACAGCAGAGCAATGAAACAACAGCAGAGCAAATAAATAACACCACAGAAATGAAATTGCAGAGCAGTGAAACAACAGCAGAGCAATGAAACAGCAGCAGAGCAGTGAAACAGCAGCAGAGCAGTGAAACAACAGCAGAGCAACGAAACAACAGCACAGCAGTGAAACAACAGCACAGCAGTGAAACAGCAGAGCAGGGAAACAACAGCAGTGCACTGAAACAATAGCAGAGCACTGAAATAACAGCAGAGCACTGAAATAACAGCAGAGCACTGAAACAACAGCAGAGCACTGAAACAACAGCAGAGCAGTAAAACAACAGCAGAGCAGTGAAACAACAGCAGAGCAGTGAAACAACAGCAAAGCAAATAAATAGCAGCTGAGCAATGTCATACACCATGAAAACACAAAACAAATACCTGTGACTGTAATCCTGCCAGTCCCTGGGGCCGCCATTTTCAAAATATTAAACACTTGTTGTTCCTGGATGGCACAACTGATGCAGGCACCGACCAGGTCATGTAGCACCCGACTGATTGGAGCGGGTCCAAACTGCATCGGCATGTGCTCACTCAAACTCCGCGTCTGCAGGAGACTTCCGCAATAGCAGTTGTGGTTCACATATACACACACTGAAAATATACAGTTCAGTGTTAACGTGTGACACCAGTATACTCATATTTCATTATAAACATTTGTTAATTCCCCCACTGTCTTGTCCCCATTCACATGCAAACATACAGGAAATATCTAATTTAGTGTAAACATCTTAAATTAATTTCACTACAAACATAAAAATATGACATCAAAATACAGATCTGATTACTTCTTTTTCGCATTCACCTTATATACTTTGGCGGAAAGTTCTGGTTGTTCATCCACTTCTGGACTCTAGTCCTTTTCCAAAACTTGTGTTACGTGCATATCTGTTTTACAGATCTGATTTACCTGTATGCAGAAGGCTGGTTTGATGATTCTCAGGCAGACCCGTTCTGACTTCGAAGGAAGCCCCAATTAGTGGCTCCAATGACACTCTTATTGGGGAGTCAGTAGGTCTATTCTTGTTTTCCCCCACAATGGGACCCAGGACCCACAATGGGACCCAGGACCCACATGGGGAGTGCTCAGATTTAATTCTAGCCTTTTGTTCAACCACCTAATGCTCCCCCTCTCCCTCCCCCCACACGCACACACACAAAATAAACAATTGAGTGGACATCAGTATAAACAGGTTTCACCACAAACATATAAATATGACCCAAAACACGGATTTTACTATAAACATAAGTGGAGACACCAAAAACAAAACAAAAAAACAGATTTCCCTAAAAACATAAATACAGGCACAGAAAAACACAGATTTCACTATAAACATTAATGCAGACACACACACACACACAAAAAAAAAACAGATTTCCCCAAAAAACATAAATACAGGCACCCAAAAAAACACAGATTTCACTATAAACATAAAAATATGACCTAAAAACACAGATTTCACTATAAACATAAAAATATGACCCCAAAACATATATTTCACTATAAAATTTAATGCAGATCCCCCCCCCCCCCTCTCAGATTTCACTATAAATGCAGATAAAAAATAACAATAAAAAAGGATTTTATTATAACCTTTCATCCACTGCCTTTTCCTCTTCAATTATGCGCATACTGGAAACATGCAATTTAGTGTTTAGAAAAAGGTGACAACAATAAATGTGTATATAATTACAATCAAATCATTGGTTGAATCAGACACAGCCACACCCCAGTCCCTATGCTGTGGTACAGAGGTGTCTATAGTTTAGTTTGTGTTTAGCTTTGTTCTGCTCAGAAATGCTTGGAACCATCTCCCACTTTCAGGCTATTCAAAGCCAAAGAACATGTTGCCATATTTCTGACTCAACATGAAGCTATCCCATTTACCTTTATCAATCAACCTGAAGCTATCCCACATGCCTTTAACAGACTCAGAGTGAAGTTATCTCACATACCTTTAACAGACTCAGTCTGAAGTCATCCCTCCCACATATCTTTAACAGACTCAATCTAAAGCTATTCCTCATACCTTTAACAGACTCAGTCTGAAGCTATCTCACATACCTTTAACAGACTAGTCTGAAGCTAACCCACATACCTTCAACAGACTCAGTCTGAAGCTAACCCACATACCTTTAACAGACTCAATCTAAAACCATCCCACATACCTTTAACAGACTCAGTCTGAAGCTAACCCACATACCTTTAACAGACTCAATCTAAAACTATCCCACATACCTTTAACAGACTCAATCTAAAACTATCCCACATACCTTTAACAGACTCAGTCTGAAGCTAACCCACATACCTTTATCAGGTTCAGCAGCAGTTGTGTCAGGCTCAGAACTGGTCACCGTGCTCTCGTGTGGCGACAGATGACTCAGTTCTCCAGAGCTGGGTGTCAAGGGGCTGGCTTGAGAATTACGTGGGCTAACTGACGGACTACCACTGTAGCCACTTCCGGCTATATTTACACTTAGCTCATTTTCTTTCATCATTTTCACCGATTTGTAGGGGGTAGCTAAAAGATTGCATACAGACAGGTCTTCTGACTCAAAATATCATAATGAAATCAACACCTAATAGATAACATTCAAACCTATTTTATTCAGGCAGCAGAGAGAATTCTTGTCTGAACACTACTGTGATAATTGTGAGAAGAGGAAAGGCTTACTGGGAATGTTCATACACAGAGACAAGGAAACATCGACCTTAGTGAGAATAAATAACACAACCACAAATAACAAGTACATCTCAGTGGGGAAACATAATTAGATCTAGACTCACGTATAACATAAGTAAGCAGAGAAGGTCAGCCAGGACCACATGATAAATACAGAGAATTTAAAGCCATGATTTAATTATTGAAAGCAAAAAATCTGAATGAAGCTTCTTCTTCTTCTGTGAAAAGCAAAGGATTCATACGATCCATTGTATGTACTTGAGTGTATGAACAGAAGATTTAGTGGACAAAGGAGGGAAGGGGGGAGAGGGGGGTGTGTGTGTGTGTGTGTGAAAACACAAGCAATCACACACACCCTCTGAAAACACAAGCAACTCTGGATCCTGTGGTTGTGTACACGTTAACCTTAGACACAGGTGGGTCCTGTAGAACACCTGAGAATGAAATATTCATATGACCTGGAGAATGCCACATCAGTGAATAAGGCAAGCGCGAGCAATTATAGGCAGTAATTGTGAGGCTATATATAGGGACTGGAGAAGATGTACAAGGTGAATTTAGTAGATTTGGAGAGTAAAGACCCTGAAAAGCACCGGGCAGTTTTGACCTAGGAGGATCTGAAGTAACATATACTTAAGGAAGTTGGGAGAGGACTTACCATACACTGAATGACTAAGATTCGAAGAGATAATCTTACATGCCATCTAATTTTTCAAACTGTGACAGTCTGTCGTTCACTGTCTGCCTCCAAAGCAGTCAGTCTGCAGCTGATCTCTCCCAAGCGTCTGTGTTAATGTTGATACCTTTCAGGTCATGATTGCATACGTCCCTAGAGAATAGCTTTGGCTTTCTTACTGGTCTTACCCGTGTTACCAGTTCACCATACAGCAGACCCTTTGGAATGTGACTGCCCTCCATGCAAGAGACATGTCCCAACCAACATCGGCATCACTGTATTGCTCCATTTTATGATTAACAGTATAATCCAAGCTAAACACATTTCTAGACCACTATGACAATCCTACTGTAGTGCCATGTGAGAATTACATAAAGAAATCTCTGTGTAGCTACCAGTCCAGTACCCTATTTTGTGAAAAGGGGCGGGGGTAGACCCTCTTAACAAGTATGTTGTCTGGGCGGTTAATTAATGATCTGCTGAAAATGAATTGTTGGGTCGAAAAGCGCGGATGCTGTAGCCTTGCTGTAAACTACAACATTGTGCCAATCGGCCCCTTTCAAAGATGAACGCTGAAGATGAAAAAAAAGAAGAATAAGAAAGAGAGAAGACACCGAGAAAAATGAACAAATTTTACTTAGAGAACAAAATTCAAGACACAACCATTTAACAGACTTCCCATGTGGGTTTTGGGGTCCCCTCAGTGTAGGGGGAAAAAGGAACAGACCCACTGCCTCCCTAACAAGCATGTCATAAGAGTTGACTAATTAGGGGGTTTTCCTTCAAAGTCAGTGGGTATGCCTGAGAGGCACGGAACCAAATAAGCCAGATCAGTAAAACAGATAGTGCATGCAAAACTCACATGCTGGAACAAGACTAGAGGTTCACTAACAACCAGAGTTTTCCATCGGAGTTTACAGCTGGTGAACACGAACAAGAAGGAGAGTCAACAGACAACATTAAGATCACATTTTAAATTCAAAAATAAGAAGAAGTATTTCCCTCAAGTGGTGATGTGAATTCCCAGTCTACACAGAAGTAAGTGAGAAAATGACTATCCTGCTCAACCTACTTAAAATACTACTCAATCAATGAAGAAGGCTCAGTGGCATAGGGTTCAAATCTGGATCAAAATAATTTTTCTCAAAAGTGACCTTGTTTTCAGGTCTATCCAGCCTAAAAGGGTATCAGGTACTGTCTTGAGAAGTAAAGGCAGCTGGCGTGATGCTGATCACATGGTCTACTGAGTACAGACTGGTCAATACAAATATGAGGCTAACATCATACGCTCGATGTACCAATGATGCTAAAAAGGGTCCATTGACTTCACTCAACCTGTGGAGGTTATGGTAGCGCCTGCCTGTAGGTTTTGCTGAGAATACACTAGGCCAGGGCTTTTCAACTGGCATCCTGTGGGCCAAATCTTGCCAGCACAAGCCTGGCAAGTGGCCTGCGCATCTCCTGTCAACCAAGTGGCCTGCGCATCACCTGTCAACCAAGTGGCCCGGTACCACCTGTCAACCAAGTGGCCCGCGCATTACCTGTCAACCAAGTGGCCCACGTACCACCTGTCAACCAAGTGGCCCGCGCATCACCTGTCAACCAAGTGGCCCACGTACCACCTGTCAACCAAGTGGCCCGCGCATCACCTGTCAACCAAGTGGCCCACGTATCACCTGTCAACTGTACTGTATTAATGATCTTTCTATGCTGGGGCTCAAGCTTCTGGCCCATGACAATCTCCGTTTCTCAACATTTTGGCCCTGAGTAAACTCAGTCGAATGGACCTGCATTAGGCTTTACAACTGACATACCTGCGTATTCATTGAGCAAAGAAATCTTTTTAAAAAAAAAAAAAGAAAAAAAAACTAAAAGAAAACTAAGTTACCCTTGGTGCCAGGACTCTGCAAAGGGTGACCACTCTTCTCACACCAACCAACGGGGAAGATGTCCCTAGAATCAAAACGGCACCAGTAGTCAAAGGCCCCTCTCCAACCATCAAAGGTCACATGTATCTGGTCTTCGTTGATGGCACCAATAGTTGCTGGGCAGATCAGTGCTGGATTTTTCCTGTCTACCGCTTCCAGTTTCTGCCCGACCTGGAAGTCGTTATGTGAGGGTGTGGACGGCTCCTGAATAAATTCATCAAACAAATCATGAGCTATAGACAGTTTTAAGTGTCTTCCAGCTTGTCTTACTTAGGTTGACAAGTCTTAAATAGAAAGACATCAAACCAAATGAAAAGCAGAACCAGTGAACTTCACATTATCACAAACACAAACAACCATTTAACGCTCGTCGACTAGACCACCTTTATCAGCACATTACATGAACATTCAATACCAAAAAAAAAAAATCACTTAGCTGGAGTCTCTATGAGAGGAATCACATATCTGTCTGGCCAGCTGAATCTCTGACATGTGTGTGGCCACCAGAAATAGCCTAAAATGGGTACCAGGTAAAGTCCCAGGAAGTAGATGTGGCCGCCGTGATGTTCACACTCCACCTAATCAGTACCAATTGGTCTAAAAAAAAAAACTGAGTCTAGCATATATGCCCTATATGCAATTGATATGAAAAGAGTCCATTACTCTTCATACTAAAATCTTTTTCAAATCTGGTATATGGCCATGGTCATCAACATAACAGTATGTGTCACCAACAATGGTTGACAAATTCTGTTTCTGTGGACAGCTGTGTTCCGACTTTGATCTCCAGACAGCTGCAACTGCCTGTTTACTAATTCTGTCTTCACAGACAGCGGACGGCTGTGAGCAAAACATTGTGAGCTGGCTCAGCCTGGGGTTTCTGTCAGTCATCATTTTGCCCCAACACAGCACAACCAACAAACATGTCATCAAATGAAAAAAAAAATAAAAACACAATGTATCTTGCATTAGAAAAGCGCAAAGAATAACTGTCCATGAAACGAGAGCACAATGATCTGAAAGAAAATCACAGATAGCGAGCAATAACACATCCGTTTGCCATCATCTTGAAAGGAAAAAAGGAAGTCAAATTTGATACATAAAAAAGGAATAGTCTATAGCAGATTCGCTCACAGGGTTAGGAAGTGCTAGATGTTCACATATTCTAGGCCAAGACATGAGATGTGAGGTCAATGTAACACACAATTTCTCTCTCCAATGTGGGTGTTCAGGCATGTGCATCTTTCATCATTTGTAAATTTCAATTTCAAAAGAATTTTAACAGCAATTATTTTAAAATCAGATGTATCTACAAATGACCTTGCTCCCAGGTCAGACCAGCTTAATTAAATGGGTACCAGGTAAAGTCATGGGAAGTAAAGGTGGACGGCGTGATGTTGACCACACCAATCCCTGAGTGCCGATTGGTCTAAAAAATATACAGGCACTATATACCCTTATGCCTAAGGGCTTGGTCTGGTAGTATGGTAGTCTTAGTTTCAGCTTCATAGCAAATGGGTCACCCCATCTTTGCTCCGCTCCTGTGCCAATAAAAAACACACAGAATGTTTACCACAGTCCCTTGTGGAAAGATTGACAGACTGCTGTCTCAGCATATCTAGCATACGCTCGCATTAAAGCATATGATAGCCATCCGAAGTGCTAAAACAAACAATCCAACATTAGAAATGCAGTTCATCGTTGATGATAGAAGAACTTGTCACCAACAGATCAGCAGCTGCCCACGCGATCAATTTTAATCACATACGGGCACCGCCAACATTGCACGACAGGCATTGTGCCATTTTCTGAATCTACAATTCACACCACCACATTAGGTCACAGTCGAAAAAACATTTCAAATGCAATCCGCAGCTCACAGCGTCATGCCATGCATTCAACCCAGAAGCTTGACGATGAAACTATATCCAGTATACAAATGGAGCAAAAATGCATCGGCCACCGTCCGGCAGAAGCAAAAAAATTTGGGCCTCTGCTTCGAACAATGCCGCTGCCTAGCGTCCATTTTTACCGGAAGGTTAAGGGTTTGGAAAAGGATCCTTTTATATTATGGAAAGTATTAAACATTTATCATAAGTTTACAAGATTGTGAGCATCCGCTGCCTATTGTAACCAAACAAAAACCATTTGGCAGTAAAATTTAGTTGCCAGCTGAATCCAATATTTCAAGAAAATAAGTTTTCCTTAGCATTCGAAATATGGTTTTTTTAGATTAGGAGCAAAGCTGGCAATTTTATTCAAATCACCACAAAATTTGATAGCAAAGGTGAAACTGAATTTTGCAGGTCATTTCTTGAAGTTAAAATGTGTTCTATCATATATTTAATACAGAGTGAGAGTGAGTAGTAAGTGTGTGTGCATGTCTGTGATCTGTGGGGATGCCTGATTAGATGTGTGAAGTCTGATTACATTTGAAAGCTATGATTATATGTGAAGTATGAAAGTGTGTGTGTGTGTATGTGAAATCTGATTGCATAGGAAAGGTATGATTACATGTGAAGTATGAAAATATATGTGTGAAGTCTGAATACATATGAAATGTATGATTACATGTAAAGTATGAATATGTGTGTGTGAAATCTGATTACATACGAAAAGTATGATTATATGTAAAATATGAATGTGTGTATGAAGTCTGATTTCATTCGAAAGGTATGATTACATGTGAAGTATAAATATATGTATGTGTGTGTGCGTGGTCTGATTACATATGAAAGGTATGATTACATGTGCATGAAAATGTGTGCGTGGTCTGATTACATATGAAAGGTATGATTACATGTGCATGAAAATATCTGCGTGAAGTCTGAATACATACGTAATGTATGATTACATGTGAAGTATATGTTTAGGTTTAGACGATGGATCAACATCATGGCACAAGGGTAGTAACCGATAAGTGCTTCGTTCTACTTCTGACTCAAGCCTGAGTCCGAAGAAGCTCAGCGCAGTGCAAGAAGTCTGTAGCACCGGTGAGGATCCTGAAATACCTTGGGTAGATTTTTAACCTAAAATTTTGCCTCGGCAGCGCCGTTAGGCCACTCTTGTTTGATTTCCAACTATCAAGAGATTTTTTACGTGTGCAACAATACACAAGGGCGTCCGATCTTACTTTCCAAGACCAGGGGAAATTACTAGGTCCATGTGAAAAATCCCAACCTTATTCTGGACTTGAACCGGTGACATCCAGCACTTGAGGCGGACGTCATGCCTCGAGACCACGCAGCCCCCAAAGTTAAATGAATATATGTGTGTGTAAGAAGTCTGATTACATATGAAAGGTATGATTACATGTGAAGTATGAATATATGTGTGTATAAGAAGTCTGGCTATATGTTTGAAATCTGCTGACATTTCTGAATTCTACTTGCCTTTTTGAAACAATAATCTGGGGCTAGCACAGCACCATTCAAGGTTCGCTGCAGGAATCCTGGCCAGCTGGACGAATTCATACGGAAACCTGAAGAACAAACGAAACTACTGAGAAACAAGATAAACAGCCTAACTACCTAAGTGTGCTTGTTTCTTCAGTTAGGTTTCAGAGGTGATTTGGAAAGAAACTGGCAAGGAATGGTGAGTTAACCTTCTCAAGTTCCTTACTGTGTCTAAACAATTGTCTACAACTGTATAATTTCCATATACTTCTTGGGTTAAGAGTTGACAATGTCTATCTAAGCATCTTGATCCAATGCCTTATTATGACAAAGTAAAACACCAGGATTATCTTGAGATGTTTGGAAAGTTAAAGGGGAATAGAGGCAGAGGAAGACCAAGAGAGAAGAGACTATATACTCTGACATCATGGCATGGAAGATCATGTGTAAGCACTGATTAAAAGTATTCGAGACAGAAGGTTGTGAACAGACATGACTACCAAAGCCTCATCACGGACTATAAGAAGAAGAAGAAAGCAACACGAGCTGCAGAAGTGAGGTGGCTAGATATCGGCATGTTGACCTAAAGATAGTAAAGTAAAGTAAAGTAAAGATCCCTTTTCACGCCTTTCGGCGCATCGGGCATATGGGCAGAGCGTCCCATATTTTACAGACCATCAGCACTCTGTGGGTAATGTGGTCAGCATTACGCCGGCTGTCTTTACTTTCCCAGGACAGCCCATCCTGGTACCCATTTTAGGCTGGGTCGACCTGCGACGTCCCATACCACGACAAAAATCCACGCAGCCTGCAGTGGGTTTCGATCGCAGTATGCTGGCTTACGAGTCGGACTCGCAACGCCTTAGCCACGGACGCCGCCTCGACCTAAAGATATTGGGTTTTAATCTGACATAAACTCTGGCAGAAACTCATGGTTGTTTGACCAGTTCAAAACTCTGGCCTTGTTCCAATACTTGAATACTGCTTATATATGCATTTTACAGATCTGGTTTGTCTGTGTGCAGACTTTCTTTCAGGAAGATGCACTCCGACTCTGAAGAAGTTTGGTCTATGAAAATAGAGGTCTAGCACCATATGTTCAATTGTGTTAAAAGGTTAAGTTTTAAACCTTTTTCTTCTTCTTCTTCACCAGATGTAAACTTGGCAGAAAGTTCTGGCTTTTCATCCACTTTAGTTCTGTTCCAGAACTTGAATTTTGTATGCATATCTGTTTTACAGATCTGGCTTATTTGTGTGCAGACTGTTTGTTCCTTGCCTCTCAGGCAAATGCACTGACACATTGAAGGAAACACCCTTAATTAGTCCCCTTTCATGACATGTTTCTAAACAGGGAAAGTGGGTTGATTCTTTTTACCCCCTCCTCACATGGAAACATTTATTAAAGAATTTACATTTATTTTAGAATAGAAAAGGAAAGAAAATGAATGAATGAGTAATCACCTAGAGGTGGTTGCAGCAGTCCCTTGTGTTTCTCACAGTAGCCGACAGGATGCAAATCGCTGGAGTCAACCAAACGCCAGAAGTCATTCTTGTCGTCACTGCCATCTAACCTCAGGCGCAGTCGTGGCCCTTGCATATCAATTACCGTTGCAATACAACTGGATGTGCTGTTACGAGGGTCATTTGCCTCTAGTTTCATATTTTTCCGGAAGTCATTGGAGGGAGGTGTGGCAGTCTGTGTGCAGTCAAACATGAGTCAGCAAAATTACAAACTGGCAAATTAACTTCATTGTTCATTTTAAAAATCATCTTCATCGCACATCAAGCATGACCATAAATGCTCCAATCTCCTTCTTTAGAATGTCTCAAAGTGCTTTTAGGCTAACAACTCCCATTCTATTCTGGTTGATGTAACAATGGGTGGCTCCTGATTGGTTTTCCTGTCTCGTAGCTCCATCTGGTACACCCAGGGTATGCAGTCTAGTTAGCAAAAATCATTTTTTACAAAAATGAAAGCCTCGCAGTTAGCTTCCATCTTTACCAAATGTAGCATTTTTACCGATAATGTTTGACATCTATTTACATTCTACCCTTACTCCTTTGAGATCTCTACCTACCTTCTATTTTAAAAGCAAAAACAAATGGTGTGCCATCTTCAAAATGAAGGTTGGTTACAGTGTAGTCTCGGCTGTCTTTGGAAATATGAGAAATCATTAAGTCAAGGCAACTGTATCTTAGTCTAAATGGAACAGTATGAAGAAAAAAAAAATTATTTTAAGACACAGAATGGCCCCTTTGCAATACCCAAAGTATGTGTCGTGACAATTTAGCAGTATGTGCACATGCAACCACTCAAACAAGATGGCTGCAGCACTGTTAACATGTACTGTGGAAGAGCAATGAGGTGTTTTTCATTTTTGTGTGGGTAGAGGGTGTTAGCCCATCTTAAATCTATAGGATAATGAAGGATCAAAACGGTGACTAGTGCATGCTACTGTGACATGTTAGCGAACAAGTTAAAGCCCCTGAGCTGTAGTCTTCTCTCAAAAGGAGTTATGTCGCTGCGTGAAACAATCGTCCCCAAAACGCATACAGCGGATACACTACTGACTGCAGTTTGCAGCATTGAAACATCCAGCATACAGCCCAGACCAGGCACCATCAGATTTTCTTTTGTTTGGCCCTTGGAATGAACATCTGCATGCTCAGATATTTGCAGATGACAATGATGTGATGTCTTGGTTTTGGCCCCTCACAAAAGCTTCTACCTGGCGAGCATCCACAATCTTGTGGTTTTGTGGACTACATATGTTGCAATACAGGGAGATTATGTCGAGAAATATGACACAAAACAATTTTGTTCTGGCCAACTGTAAAAAAACGTATTAATGCAACTGCCTTTACCTAATGCCTTCCCCTTGTGGGGAGCCACAATCTCTTCCATGGTGCAACTCTTGCACCGCTGTCCGAAAACCATAAGTGCTGTATTTTTAATAAACAATCGGCCGCAGCTATCAAACCCTAGTACTTGAGGATCATGAAAATGTTAAAACTCCCAGCCTTCACCAGGGCTTGAAGCCGGGACCTCTAGCACACAAGTCGGACACCATGCCATGAGACCACGCAGCACCCTGGAGAGGAAGATATACTGTGAAACTGCCCTAAAAAGGTGATCTGCAGGAGATGAAAAGTTTAGAGGAATTATTTTGCTGTCCATTACTGGAAAAATATTATGCAGGATTATTTTGGAAAGACTAAAAGATGTCACTGATAGACAGCTAAGAGCTGATGCTGATGCTGATAAATCGAAAAAAAACAGAACTTCGGACGGCTTCAACCTGCCTCTGGGGCTTGGTTTTAATTGCGTCCTGGTTTCTTTGCGGTTTTCGTTTCTTTGTTTTTGTGTGACGTTGTCTCTCGTCTTCCTATATGTTTCCTTAATGTTTGCAACATTCGCTTGGGGTGTGGATGGGCGGTGTACTAGTCCTGAAAAGGACAAGTATAGTATGCCGGGCGTGGCCTATGCGGGGATGGGCGGGAAATCATCTGGCTTGTCGAGCATTCACGTCTGGCTGGTGTTACGCAGGTGGGCTTTCCGGTCCGGTGAGCAGGATTTTGGCAGGTGTCATGGCGGCCAGGTCATTTCTGGTTGGCTGATGGATTGGGGTTCATCTGTCGGTTCGTCTGCTGGGTTTGGTTGGCAATCTCAACTATTTGGTCGTTTCTTGAGGTTTTTTCGCCTTACAGAGTTGCGCATGGGCTTCATTAAGTTGGTCGCGCATTACGAGGAAACTCAGGCGTCTGGGTCCAAGTGGTCCGACCGGAAATCGGCCCTCCTTTGACATTGTTTCATGGCAGAACTGTATCCTGTACTCGCCCTGGACAAAGTTGATTCCGTGTGGGTGCATGATGTTGTTGAACCTCTGTCGCATTTCTTGGATGCTGGCCTCGCTGACTTCTGGTTCCTCTGGGACTTCTATCTTCTTTTCGTCGGATTTAGTAGGTTCTCCCCGATTTGTGGTTTCTGTTCCCTTGTTCTTTGCCGCTTGTAATTGGCTTCTTCTGACTGCTCTCTTCCTTGCCTCTTCTCTAGCTTCAATAATAACATTCGTTGATGCTATGTCTTTTTCCAGTTGTATGTTGTCTTTGCTGAGTTTAGTTAGCTTCGCTTCTAGTGCTGTCATTGACGCTTTCATCTTTGAGGCTTCTGATAGGCTGGATTCGATGATTTCTTCCTTTTGCTTCTTGAGATCCGTCAGGACTGCCAGGAGTTCGCACTTGAACTTCCCCATGTCTGCTAGTTCAATCTCCTGCCGTTTCTGGGTTTCGAGAGACTCTTGTAGCAACCTTCTAATATCAATGTTCTCGTCTCTGTCTCGATCTTGCTTCTTTTTAATGGCGGCGTTCTCCTCCCGAAGGGACTCGATCTCTTTTTTAAGGGCAGAGATCACGACCTGGGTGTTTTTCGCCTCTGTGTCGTCCCTCGGTCTGGGAGCCTGGAATGTCTGCCTTTCCCCTGGGCGGGCGTAGTGTCTGGAGGTGGTGGCTGTCAGCGCTCTTCTGCAGTCCTTGAGGTAAGGGCATCCCTGGTACCTGGCGCTGTGGGTGCCTGAACAATTTGAGCACCTTCTGTTTGAGTTGGGTTTTTTAAAATCAGCGTCCTTCTTCGCTAGGCTGCACTCCTTGAAGTTGTGCGGACCGGCACAGTAACGGCACAGTGGGCTACTGCGGCAGGTTGCGGCTGTATGCCACGCCCTGTTACATCGTGAACACTGGGTAATCTCGGGTGTGTAGATGCCGTACTGCTGCTTCGTCGGAGGCTGACTCAGTCTCCCTGGCTGCGACTCATTAGAGGTAGTGGTAGACGTTTTCTCGACTGGTGTCTGCGCCCCGGCTGGGGTCGCTTCTATGTTTGGCAGCGTCTGGGTCAGTTCAGCTGGTTCCTGGGTTGAAGTAGCTTGCTTCTCAACTGTATCTTCTCCTAGTGTCGGCTCCGTCTTCTCTGGAGAGGTCGGTGCCTCGCTGGGTGAGGTATTGTCGTTCGCTGGTTTTGAACGAGTGGTGCGGTCAGTCTGTGGCTTTCTCTGGCTATTTTTACCTCGGGCCATGGCTGTTTAGGCTGAGATTGGTGATAATCAGGCTGCTGTCGAATGCTAGGTCCCTTCGGAGTAGGCAAGGCTTGTTAGAGTATTCTGAAAAGAACACCCAAGCGTGCTTCCTCCTCAGTTCGACAGGACAATCCCTAGTACTAAGGAACATGGCTGTTACGTCTGCGGTATCGGGCGGTAGCACACAAGTAGAGCGATGAGACCACGCAGCCCCCTGGAGAGGAAGATAGACTGTGAAAAAATGCCCTAAAAGAGCTGTTCTGCGAGATAAAAAGTTAGAGGCTGCGGTGTCGGGCTGATATTTGATGGATAATTTTGGAAAGAATGATCACTGATAGACAGCTAAGAGATGAACAGGCAGGTTTTTATCCCCACAGATCTTGTACTGACCAGATAGCTACACTACGCATAACAACAGAGCAACTAAATTCACCACTTTATACTGGTTCTGTAGACTGAAAAAAGCATTTGACAGCACTGATAGGGAATCTCTCTTGAAATTGATGAAGCACTACAGGATGCCACAAAAAATTATTAACTTAGTAAAGGCAACATATAAAAACATGAAATGTTGAGTTCTTCACCAGGGAAAACTAACAGATACATTTAAGATACTGGCAGTAGGCAGGATTATGAAGACAGCATCAGCCACCACCAGGAATGGAATTTCTACAAAACAGCTTGATAGTTACTAATGTGCAGCTCTGGGAGAGAATTAAACAGATTCCAAACCAAGAGGTAAAGAAAAGACGCTGGCATTTAATAGTACAAACTTGGAAAAAAACTAGAGAATAATATAACTAGAAGGGCTTTACACTGGAGCCCTCAAGGGCATACAAATGAAATGAGACCCAAAAATGCATGGAGAAGTGAGCTTGAGGGTGAAGTTGAAAAGATGGGGAGGACACAGGGTAAGCTGTACGCTACAGCAAAGGATAAGACAATGTGTGTTAAATTTGTAATCTTTCTTTAAAACAAAACACATTTTTTTTCCAGTTAGCATCTTCATAACTGAGGTCGGCTGCATTGGGTCTCTGGCAATGGCTGTCTCTCGTCATGGTAGTAAGGTCTAACAATGAAACATAAGGTAGGTTCCAATCTCCTCAGACTTAAACTAATGAGTAGAAAACTGAGGGAAAGTCTACAGGCTGATCAAGTGTCACAGAAACACGATCAGTTCTGACTTCAATATCATCATCAGAGAATGGAAAAAATTCACGTTTGATTTCACAGCTTACAACATTACCGACTTACTGTCTGCAATGAAAGAGCAGTGTATATCTATATTAATAAAAATGTTAATTTTCTGATGATGTAAGCTAAAAACTCGGAAACTACTGAACCGATTGCTTTAAAATTTGCACACAATGTTGCCTTGGACTCCAATCGTGATTTTTTGTCAGAAAATCGCACAAACCACGAACGACGTAGCTCCAGCAGCGGTCAAATCATTATTTGTTTCGTTGCCGGCCCGAATTTGTTTTTATGTGATCGACCATATTTGACTGCTGAGCTCTTATTGAAATTTGCATTATTATATAATTTTATTTCCATTATTTGCTTGAGTGTTTGGTAGCGTAGTTGTTAACTATTCTGCCTATCATGCAGGTGACCCGCGTTCGATTCCCCGCTAGGTGACATAATTTTTTTAGGACTTAACTGGGCGGCAGGCACGTTGTGTTTGGGTTTATGGCTAGGCTACGATATCTATGCCTTTTTTCGGTTTTGGGGTTTAGAGATAGCCTGCGACATGTGATGCTCAATGGTCATGTCACGGGTAATCTTTGTTAGCCCTTGAGAGTGCCGTTGGCACGTTGTGTTGTGATTTACAGCTAGGCTGCGATATCTGACCTAAACTCTTCAGACGTCGGTAGTAAAGTTGTAAGTATGTCATCCTTCACTCGAGTGACCGGTGTTCGATTCCCTGCTAGGTGATAATTGTTCTTTTCCCACTAAAAGGGTGGTTGCCAGGCTGCGAAATCTGCGCCTTTCGCCCAAAGACATTCGATTTCAGTTAAGTCCTAATTAGCCTCCCCGTGTCGCTTCTCAATCAAAAACTATTCAGCGCTGACAGAAACTGTTAACTAAGACGGTTTACAGTCCAGTTTAGTTTGGGTGGACACGGATGCCAAGGTATGTTAAAAATCGTCCACTTGGAGAGAGAGAGATGACGGGTGCGGGGTATTTTTCTCCCCTATTTGTATAGTGTACTTTTCACTGTGGGTTCTATCATTGGTTACGTGATGAAGTTTTTTTTCTATGTCTGGAGCAAAATCAAACTAAATAGTCTGTGGCGATAACATGCAGCGCTAACTCCTCTTTTCTACACCGACCTACACAGACTGTAGTGACAGTTTTTGTTGTTGTTGTTGTGGTAATGGTGGTGGTGGTTGCAGTAGTACTGGTACTGGATGGGTGATGTGGTAGCTGTTACACTGGCTACATTTACTTCTCTCTACAAGTTAATACTACCTATTTAAGTATGGGTAGACACGGATGTAAAGCTAAATTTAGTTACAATATTTCGTTACACGGTGACTTTCCCATCCTTCAGAGAAGATAATATGATTGGGGGGAGGGAGGGGGGGGGGGGGGGTATGCCGGACACAGTTAGCTGAGAGAGCTTACAATATTATTTTAGTTCTCATTTCTTAACCATTTCCATTTTAATAATTTCGAAATGGATGATTTTTCAGTCCTTCGGACACTTCGCCAGGTGATGATTTTTCAATCTTTGGGAGAGGGAGATTTGAGGGGGGCGGAAAAGGGGGGGGGGGGGGGGGTGTGCGCCAGACACCGTTAGCTGAGAGAGCTTAAAATATTATTTTAATGTTCTCATTTCTTAACTATTTCTATTTTAATAATTTTGCCAGGTGATGATTTTTCAATCCTATGGAGGGAAATATGATTGGTGGAAAAAGGGGGGGGGGGGGGGGGGGGGTTATGCCAAACACAGTTAGCTGAGTGCGCTTAAAATATTATTTTAAAGTTCTTATTTCTTAACTATTTCTATTTTAATAATTTCGCCATGGATGATTTTTCAATCCTTCGGAGAGGGAAATATGACTGCTTTGAGGGAAGAGGATGGGGGAGGGGGGGTGGGGTGTATGACAGACACTGTTAGCTGAGAGCTATTTTCTTTCCTCTTCATTTCACCAATCTGGGCCACAGCAACGCGTGGCAGGGTACAGCTACTTCATAAATATATTCTGGCCTCTGGTCCAATATGGCTGACAAGGAAGCTGACTGTTTTAGCCGTGTCATTTGTTTCTGCCTATGCTTACGTATTGAATTTTCCCTGCAGGTTAAGTCAAAGTATACAGTTCATCACCAAGCTAATGAGCTGAATGCATGACACAACACTGTGAGCTGTGGATTTCATTTGAAATGAAATTATACTGTGCTCAAGGGTCTTGTTGCCACTGAAATAGTGGTGCCTTATGCAATATTGCATGTGAAATTGCTGATTTGTTGCAATTGCTGCTTGCTTTGATGAGAAACTGCCATTCTAGTGGCAGACATTTGTGATGGCACAGCTGCCTTATAACTTTTATCAGATTATCATTACTCTATATGGCATGTAGACACTGGTTTATCTATCAGTACTTTCTACATTAAGTACTTGAAGATCCCTACATGCCAGCTGCCACTGTCCTACTTACACTGATATCTTTACCTTCAACCAGGGCTCTAATTATCAAGTTAAGGTCAAGAGGAATCAACTTCATTGCACCAGGTTTTATCCCATTTGGTTCAGTCTCTCTCCGCAGAAAGGCCAGCTGCCTGCCGTAGCTCTGGAGACGATCCTCTGGGATCTCCATAAAAATTGCACTCATGAATTAAAGGGGGCAGCCGTGAAACAAACCCACAACCTTCAAAGAGCAAGGCAAATGGCTTGACCACTTCACCACTCTCTGCCTACCTTCTACCAGTGCAATAATTGCTATGAAATATGCCAATAAATACTACAAAATCAGTTTTCTTTTTATAAAAAGAGGTAAATGTGTGATGTGCATTATTCCCAAGACTTTTCAATTTACATACAGAAAACATTTGTAAACGAGTTGAGGAATTACCAGGCTGAATATCAACAAAAGGAATAATAAACAATCTGAGATATGCTGATGATATAGAGTTACTAGCAGAAAGTGGCCAGAACCGAGTGCAGCAAGTGAACAGGCGGCATCAGAAAACAACAACCCCGATAATTAACAACTGAAAAGAGCAGGGTAACACTGAACATCGCAGCAAATTGAGAAATATCAGAACAAGTAACAAGATTTTCCTACCTTGAACATGCATTCATAGAAACCAAAACAAGAATAGGAATGACTTAAAATACCTTTAAAAATATGCACAAATTATTGACACCTAAAAAGTAACACTTTAAAAAGTCAAACTGTCAAATGTTTTGTATATTCAACCCAACTCTATGATGCAGAAACCTCGACAATAACAAGCACCAAAAAAAAAAAAATCGAACTGAAGCTGGAAATGTGTATATTCAGAAGAAATGGTTGTAATTCATGTAAACAAAAATAATCAAATTCAGAGGTTGCAGAGAACTGGGAAAAAACAGAGCTGTTGAACGAAACTAAAAAGAGAAATGTGAAATATTCCAGCAACATTAATAAACATAAATTTCTTTTCTTTTTCTTCTTTACATTCACCGGCTGTAAATTCCTCTTAAGTTCTGCGTGTTTGTCAACTTCTTGGCTCGAGTCTTGTTTCAGAACCTGAGTGTTGCACGCACACCCTTTCTACAGATATGACTCATTTGTATGCACTGCACACTGTTAGTCCCTTGCCTATAAGGCAGATGCACTCCAACTTCGAAAGAAGCTCTTAATTAATCGACTCTTACGACATGCTCTTGGTTAGGCAGTAGGTCGATTCTTGTTTCCCCCACAATGGAGCCAGGAAACTCACACAGGATAACATACTTTTAAAAACTATATACTGGACAGAAAAGTCGAGGGCAAGAGAGCAAGAAGTAGCCATTGATACAAATAGGAGGACAACATCAAAAGATGTTTGAACATCTATACAACCAAGATGAGAGACCTTGATGGAGATCCACCTCAGCTAACCTTCACAGTGGAGATGGCACCTGACAGTGCCCTAATAACCATGAAATCTGTATCTGCTTTACAACAACCTAGTTTTAAAGTGTCATGTCTCCATTCCTGCATATTTTCTCACCACACAAGTACCCATAGCACTTAAATTAAAGAAGACAATTTTCTCAAAGAGCTAATTGTGCTGATGTGCACATCCTGCCTTGGCTCCATTTTCAGTGACTTTCCGGATTTAACAAAAACCAAACCAAACCCCAGGGTTACATATATATATATATATATATATATATGTATATGTATATGTACGTGTGTACGTGTGTGTGTGTGTGTGTGTGTGTGTGTGTGTGTGTGGCTGTTAGTAATTTTATCTGCCAATTTTACAGCCAGCAGTTTGCCATTGCTTTCTGAATGATTGGCTCTCGATACTAGTGTCAAAAGCAATTTAGGGCGGTCTGCCGCCAAATTGCCTGCAGTCGGGATAGAATACAGTACCTGAATTACCAAGCACGTTCTCACGCCTGAACTATAGACACTGACTTTGCTTAATAACAATTAATAACAAGTGATTTGTTTCTGTGATCTGATCAGCTGGTATCTTCACAGCAAAGGTCGGCTGAACTGGGTCTCTGGCAATGGCTGTCTCTTGTCATGGTAGTAAGTTCTAACAATGAAACATAAGTTGGTTCCAATCTCCTCAGACTTAAACTAATGAGTAGAAAACTGAGAAAGTCTACAGGCTGATCAAGTGTCATAGAAACACGATCAGTTCTGATTTCAATATCATCATCAGAGAATGGAAAACCTTTACGACTGATTTAACAGCATACAACATTACCACTGTCTCAACTAAGAGAATAAAAACAGCCCTAGGCTGGCTGGCACCTGTCTGTCTTTCCTGGCAACAAGATTATATTGTGCTATAAGGAGGCAAATATAGGTCTAGCCCTTTATGCTTATCTTATCTGTTCCAGCCATATTACATACTGGTATAGGAAAATCATCATTACTCACTGTAGCATTCTGAGTAGCTGATAAACGTATGAGAAAATCATCATTACTCATTGTAGCATTCTGAGTGGTTGATAATCGTATAAGAAAACTTCATTACTCATTGTAGCATTCTGAGTAGCAGATAATCATATAAGAAAATCATCATTACTCACTGCAGCAGTCTGAGTGGTTGATAACTGTTTGAATCCAGCCTCTAGCCTGCTTCCCGAAGACGTAGGATTTACCAACCACAAAGTGGACATGAATAGTAGAAACACTTGCGTGCAGTGGTTCCTAACTATTCTGACTCATCTAGCCCTTTTTTAATTCCAACTTCTGTGGGAGAGCCCTTTATGCCTACTAAACCAATTATCTTTAAATTTAATGGTTTCCAGAAGTAATGTCACAAAGCGGGGAGAGGAACAGGTAGGTTTCAAATGGGCAAGGCTGCCTGAAGAGCAATCCTAGAATCTTTAAATTCAAATTTATTTCATTCCAGCATTAAGGGCTCCGTGGAGCACTGGTTATGACTCTGCAATGGATCCAACGGACAATTAGTACCTCTATTCACCCAGCATGGGATACTCGAGACATGCTTTCCTCACTTTCGTCTTGTTTCACTGGCCCTCTGACCTTGTCCCCCCACAATCGGGAACTCTCTGGGAATTCCCCTCATTACAATCACCAACATCGTATGTATATACTTCTCAATAACAATATAACTCTGGTTATACAAATTATTATTATTATTAGTAGACCTCCATCTTTTCAGACCAGAGTGTTTCACTGTGCTACAGAGAGGCAGGAGAATCACAGCCTATGGAACTGGCAAGTGTGACCTGCAAGATCCACTCACTGTAACAAACATCTTCAAAATAAGTGCACAAGATTTCAAGAACACTGATGCCATCACACATACCTGACATGTTTCTTTTGAAGCAGTTAGCTTTTAAACTGTCTGTGATCCCTTGTTTTCCCCTCTGTTCCTATTTCTTTCCTTATTTTCCATTGCATCCTATTCCCATGAATTTATCCCAACATTTGTATCATACAATTCATGTCTTCCCTGCATACATCTTTCAACTGTAGTTGATGTCGATCTTGACATTTTCTATTCATCTCTAATTCACTATAGATGATCTCTTAAGTGACTCTACCAATCTTGGAGTGTGTCCTAGCCATCTGACCCTTCACAGATGGAGACTGGAAAAAATGGATGTGATTTCTGCTTTTCTCTATACTTCAGTGTCCGACTTACAGCAGAAACACATATATTATGATCCCTCCCTCAGCCTCACCAGAATGTTTGAACAGCTTGTTTTACAGATATTTCCTCAATTTCCCATTGCAGCATCTGTCTGGTGAAAGTCTCTTTTTCTCTAGCCAATTCAGCCCTGTGTGCTTTCATAGCCAACGCATCTTCAATGTCTTGTAGACACCTTTGCAGACATCTGCCTCCGGCTTGTTTTTCAGAGAAACTGTACCCTCCAGGCCACCAGGACAATCAACATGGCCACATTTCTCAGCTTCTGGGGCTGGATGCTGTTTATAAGCCAATACTCCTCAATGCTCAAGATCATAGACAATATTGTTGTGGGGTGGCTAAAACAGCAAGAAGCAGAACATAATATCTTCCTCAATACCTGAAGCAATTAAAAAGGAAGTGAAGAAGAATAAAAAGTGTAAGTACCTTGTTTCTCCTGCAAATAGGACCATCCTTTGGCCGAAGATGTTGACATGTCCTCAACTTGGAGAGGTCATTAAATGTTCTGTGTTACACCAACTACTCTGCACATATAAGCAATATACAGTTCACAACAACAATTTTTTCTATTTATTCAAACAAATTCTTCTTCTTTCTGTTATCACCCAAGATCCTTAACCAAATCAAACCAAGTCTACTGCGTCACTTTCATGTTTACATTCTTCATTGTTGTTCTAAATGTTGCTGTTATTACAAAATGCATTACTTCTCTTTATTGGTGCTCTTCCTTCCCTTTTTTTAAAGGCAGTATTCGGGTTTTTTCTTCAGTGTGATGGATATTTTCATCCATACAGCATGAAAAAGGAAATGTTTCACCTGGGTTTAGAAGTGTTCAGTCTATACCTTTCACATCATCGCAACTTACAACTTTTTGTTTCTCCTACCCAGGGTGTCATCTCTCAAAATTCATACATAGTTATAACATTTCAAGTATCAATTCTGGAGAGTTTCCCATGTGAAATAATGTAAGTAAGCAATCAAGACTCCTTATCACTGTATTGTGCCATATTTCTTCTAGAAAAGCATGTCAACTTGCTTGTTTAATTTCAAATTTTGACTCTACAATGAAATAAAGTAAAAGACCCTTTTCTACGCCCTCAGGCATATAGGGCTAGACTTATATTTTATAGACCTATTGGTATTTGGTGGGAGATGTGGTCAGCATCATGCCGGCTGCCTTCATTTCCCAGGACTGTACCTGGTACCCATCTAAGGCTGAGTCGACATGGCAGACAAGATCATTTTTTTTCAAGTACAGCTTCGTTCGAACCTGAACCAACCTTTTGATCCGCAGGCAAGCATTTAGCTGCTACATCACAGCAGCTCCCTCAACGATGAAATACATTATGTTATTTGCTATCAGACCGGACTTTAATGGACTGCTAGCAAACACAGAGATGCCCAGTCTCTATCTAAAACATATTAAATGTTTAACCACTAACAAAGTGAAGAAACCGCAAAGGAAAAGTTTTTAAATTAGAACAAAGCATACAATAGATATTGTTTATGTCTTCATTAAACTGATATGGCGTAAACCACCTGGACTTTTTCAACAAATCTTTAGCACCCATGATATGAAACTGGACTGAGTCTTTATCTGTACCACCAGCTCCTGTGTCACTCCTTTGCCTGAGTGTGTGTGTGTGTCTCTGTGGGAGTGTCCGTGTGTGCATGTGTGTGTCTCCATGCATGACTGTATGCGTGTATGCCTGTATTACGTATGAATGTATGTTTGTATCTATGAATGTATGTTTGTGTGTACGTATGCCTGTGTGTATGCATGTTTGTTTGTATGTATCTGTGTATGTATGTATGTATGTAATGTATGCATGCATGTTTGTGTGTGTAAGTGAGTGGGTGAGCGCGTGTATGTGGGTGTATGTATGCACGCGCGGGTTTTTGCATGCACTTTACAACTCATGCTTTTGTGTTCTTTTATAATATTCTTAATATGCATAACATCATATGATCATAACATGCTTTATTAGTAAAATACAACTGCTGTGCGAAAGATGGTTGACTGGAAGGGCCGAATGTAAGATGGGCCTGCGTGCCCAATTTGTGACCCTTTGAAAATAAAGTTCGTTCGTTCGTTCATTTCCAGGGCTCTATTTGGGGAGGGGGTGGGTGGGAGAGGAGAAAGAACATTTCCTTTGCTACCCCCCCCCCCCCCCCCACCCCCCAACATGTCTAGGTGACTAATTACAGGTCTTTCCTTTGAAGTCAGAGTATATCTGCCTAAAAGGTGAGAAACCAACAGTCTGCATACAAATATGCCAGATCTGTAATGTGGATGTGAAGTGCATGCAACAACCAAACTCTGGAACAGGACTAAGGTCCAGAAGTGGATGAACAGGCAGAACTTTTTACCAGAGTTTACAGCTGGGGAATGCTGAGAAGTACTACCAGTAAAAAAAAAAATTGGTAACCAAACTTACACCTGTGTGTCTGTAAATCAGTGAATTAAGTGCTGTTCTACAATCAATCTTTATGTCAGCTAACAGTTCAAACTAAATCTAAGCACCTGAAAACACTGAGTTTATTACTTGTTTCTACTTGTTTTGAGTCATGTTTGTACTTTGCTTTCAGATATAGTATTACCCCATGTGAGGTACTTGGGCCCCATTGTAGAGAAACAAGAAGAGAGACACTGCATTAAAAAAAAGCATGCTGTAAGAGTCGACTAGTAGGGAGCTTCCTTTGAAGTTGGAATGCATGTGCCCAAGTGGCAAGAAACAACCAACTGCACACAAATAAGCTAGTAACATGGATGCACATGCAAAACCTAGACCCTGGAACAGAGCCAAAGTCCAAATCGACAAACAACCAGGACCTTCTGCTGGAGCTTACAGCGGGTGAACAATGAAGAGGAAATGGTTTTACATCTGTAAATGCAATCATTTGAGAAACAAAAATTTAGGAACAGACAGCGTTCATGTTTTTCTGGTCAGAAACGAAAATAGACAGTGTCACACATGTGTAAGTACAATCACAAGTAGCCCTTATGTTTTTTTATGGCTTAGAATTGTGGTTCCCAAAAACCAGTGGCTGAGAGAACAAATTTAAGGGTTATGTAATATTGTTAAGATAAAAACCTTAACCCCCCCCCCCCCCCCCTCGGTTTTAATATCAATTTACTCTTGTGTGTGTGTTAAACAGTATGAGTGTGTGACAGACGTTCAATTTACTCTTGTGTGTGTGTGTTAAACAGAATGAGTGTGTGACAGAATTTCAATTTACTCTTGTGTGTGTGTTAAACAGTATGAGTGTGTGACAGACGTTCAATTTACTCTTGTGTGTGTGTTAAACAGTATGAGTGTGTGACAGATGTTCAATTTACTCTTGTGTGTGTGTGTTAAACAGTATGAGTGTGTGACAGACCTTCAATTTACTCTTGTGTGTGTGTTAAACAGTATGAGTGTGTGACAGACCTTCAATTTACTCTTGTGTGTGTGTTAAACAGTATGAGTGTGTGACAGACGTTCAATTTACTCTTGTGTGTGTGTTAAACAGTATGAGTGTGTGACAGACGTTCAATTTACTCTTGTGTGTGTGTTAAACAGTATGAGTGTGTGACAGACGTTCAATTTACTCTTGTGTGTGTGTGTTAAACAGAATGAGTGTGTGACAGAATTTCAATTTACTCTTGTGTGTGTGTTAAACAGTATGAGTGTGTGACAGACGTTCAATTTACTCTTGTGTGTGTGTGTGTGTGTTTAAACAGAATGAGTGTGTGACAGAATTTCAATTTACTCTTGTGTGTGTGTGTTAAACAGAATGAGTGTGTGACAGACATTCAATTTACTCTTGCATGTGTGTTAAACAGAATGAGTGTGTGACAGACCTTCGATTTACTCTTGTGTGTGTGTGTTAAACAGTATGAGTATGTGACAGACCTTCGATTTACTCTTGTGTGTGTGTTGAACAGTATGAGTGTGTGACGGACCTTCAATTTACTCTTGTGTGTGTGTTAACCCTTTCGCTGCTATGGACGAGATAACTCGTCTGCCCGGCAGACTGCTAAAGACGAGATAACTCGGCTGCCATTTTCTGTGCCCTCACTGCTAAGGACGAGATATCTCGTCCTCGACAATTTTTTTACAGATTGCTAAGAACAGTAATTCTTAGGGGTGAAATAGCAATACACATTACCTTAATCTGATTAAACTGACCCGTTTACATACAATTAAAACCCTTATCAAGTGAGTTTAGGCGTATTTAGATGCATTTCACGTTATCCTGTTGCTTTGATACCATAGAAGCATTGTCGGTGAACGGTAATTTTTTTGCCCTGAAATATATTTCTGGTTTTGCGTTAGTCAAAATTTTTTTTTTTTAAATACAAAATAACAAGAACATTTGTTTAAATAAAGAAGAATTAATGGAGTTTCTTTCAAGGAGTAGTAGTAAGGATCACTTTGAAACGTGTGAGTTATATGAGCTGGGTTATCTTCGCAGCACGCCGGCGGACACGTGTACTTCTGGCTGTGATCAAGACTGACCAGTGACCATATGACCTAGCTATCTACATCGACTGGATTTGAAACGGATCCAAAATTATCAAAATAAAGATATGGTTACGTACTGACGTGATGATTAATATTAATGTTAATTATATACTAAACAACTGACATGAATGTGTTTGTCTATTAAAGTGTACAATAATGGTCTTTTTTTTCAGTTCATAGTTTCAGGTGAATTTCTAGTGTAGTTGGTATCACGTCTGCCTTACAATCGAAAGGTCCAGCGTTCAACCCCTTCGTGCCGTTTTTTTTTTAAATTAATTATTTTAAATTTAAGCTCTTAGCATTTTCTGCAACAGATCACCGAAGTAATAATTAATGAAACATCCTGTCACGTGCGTTCAGGTGGATTTAGATGCTTTACACGTTATCCTGTTCCTTTGTGAAGCGTGGTTGGTGTACTGTGCACATTCATTATATAAAGTTGTTGTGGGGGAAAAACACACCTGTTGCCGAATTTCACTTAATGTTAGTAAGAGAAATTCTACAGAAATATTGCAAGGAAAAGAGAAGAAGTGTAGGAGGACAAAAAAGTGAAGATCTGCCACTTCGTTTAGTACAAAGGCATTTGCCTTCAATAATTGAGTCCGTAATATCGCAGAAAAAATTCCCAACAAGAAAGTGTGTGGTATGCGCAAAAAGCAAAAAACGACGGAAAACCAGATACTTGCGTGTGTGTTAAACAGTATGAGTGTGTGACAGACCTTTGATTTATTCTTGTGTGTGTGTTTACAGTATGAGTGTGTGACAGACATTTAAAAATAAAAGGGGGTCTGCGGGTCTTATCTAACTGAGGAATCACTGATCTAGAATATGTGAAAACCTCAAACTTCAACCCCCCAGGGGCAGCAACCACTGAGGGACTGTCTTTATCAAAGTTGAATATTTCACCCCACAAAAAAAAAAAAAAAAAAAAAAAAAAAAAAAAAAAAAAAAAAAAAAAAAGAAAGAA